CGGCGGGAAGTTCAACTGCTGCAGGAGTCTGACAGGCACCCCAATGTGCTCCGCTACTTCTGCACCGAGCGGGGACCCCAGTTCCACTACATTGCCCTGGAGCTCTGCCGGGCCTCCTTGCAGGAGGTGAGTTGAGGGCTCAGGGAGGGTGGGTAGGAAGGTCCGGGCTGGAGATTGATGCTTTGGCCCTCACTGCTGCTCAGTACGTAGAAAACCCGGACCTGGATCGCGGGGGCCTGGAGCCCGAGGTGGTGCTGCAGCAGCTGATGTCTGGCCTGGCCCACCTGCATTCTTTACACATAGGTACCCGCACTACCCCTGCCTCCCGCTTCCTGTCCTTAGCGCCTGCCTTCCGCCCTCAGCAACCAGCTTTCTTTCTGCCCACCTCCCACAGTGCACCGGGACCTGAAGCCAGGCAATATTCTCATCACCGGGCCTGACACCCAGGGCCTGGGCAGGGTGGTGCTTTCAGACTTCGGCCTCTGCAAGAAGCTGCCTGCTGGCCGCTGTAGCTTCAGCCTCCACTCCGGCATCCCCGGCACGGAAGGCTGGATGGCGCCCGAGCTCCTGCAGCTCCTGCCACCAAACAGTCCTGTGAGTCTATCCACCAAGTCCTCCAGGCACACAGCTGCCCCAGGCTGCAGGAATCCGTCCCTGTCCCAGTTCCCCTCCTGAGGAGACTCCATGACACTTGCTGTGTGACTTTGAGCTGCTCCTCCAAGCTTGTTTCTTCTTAAAGAAGGGATAATTTGTCCTTCCTTCTACAGCAGTGTCAGGGACTGTTTTGCCACCCAGGGGACATTAGGCAATGTCTGGAGACATTTTTGACTGTCATGACTTGGGAGGGAGGGGCTACTGGCATCTGCTGGAAATGCTGCTAAATGTCTTACAGGACAGGACAGCACTCAACCCAAAGAATTAACACAAAGTCAGTGGTGCTGAGGTTGGAAAACCCTGAGCTAGAAAATGGTTTGCAATCCACTGTGCTTCACAACCGCTGCACAACTTAAAAAAACGATGCCCATTGCCGGGTGCGGTGGCTCACACCTGTAATCCCAGCACTTTGAGAAGCCGAGGCAGGCGGATTGCTTGAGCTCAGGAGTTCGAGACCAGCCTGGGTAACCTAGGGAGACCTCATCTGTACCAAAAGCACACACAATTTAGCTGGTGTGGGTGTGTGCATCTGTGGTCCCAGCTACTTGGGAGGCTGAGGTGGGAGGATCGCTTGAGCCTGGGAGGTGGAAGTTCCAGAGAGTCAAGATCAGGCCACTGCACTCTAGCCTGGACAACAGAGTGAGACTCTCTCTCTCAAAACACACACACCAAAAAAACAAAGAAAAAAACCCAGACCCCACACCCAGTGATTTTGACCTAATTGCCTGGGTCATTTTTATGCGGAGCTAAGTTCGAGAACCACTGGTGTCGAAGGTTTTGGAGGGCATCAGATGAGCTAATTAGTTGATACACAGAGCAGCATCTGACCCACACAGACAGACACTTGAGTTTGGGACCCCAGAATTACGGATTTTGAGTCACAGTGTGTGGGCGGAAGTTGAAGCCAGAGAAATAGATGCCAATCACACAAAAGGATAGTCACCAGGGAAGGCCGCCCCCAGTCCTAAAGTTGAGAGAAAGCTCAAAGTGGTGACTTGGGCTCAAGGACTAAATGCATGATGTCATGAGACTACAGTTTATTTTTAAATTAGTGGCCAATATGTATATATTTTTTTCTTTTTTTCTTTCTTTTTTTTTCTGAGATGGAGTTTCGCTCTTGTTGCCCAAGCTGGAGTGCAGTGGCGTGATCTCAGCTCACTGCAACCTCCACCTCCTGGGTTCAAGTGATTCTCCTGCCTCAGCCTCCCTAGTAGCTGAGACTACAGGCAGGTGCCACCACGCCCAGTTAATTTTTATATTTTTAGTAGAGATGGGGTTTATGCCATGTTGGCCAGGCTGGTCTCGAACTCCCAACCCTCAGGTGATTCACCTACCTCGGCTTCCCAAAGTGCTGGGATTATAGGCGTGAGCCACTGTGCTTGGCCCTATATATATTTTTTTGAGACAGGGTCTTGCTCTGTCATGGAGTGCAGTGATACCATCACAGCTCACTGCAGCCTTAAACTCCTGAGCTTAAGGGATCCTCTCACCTCAGCCTCCCAAGTTGCTGGGACTACAGGCATGTAACATGGCACCCAGCTAATTTTTGTATTTTTTTGTAGAGGCAGGGTCTCACCATGTTGCCCACGCTGGTCTTGAACTCTTGGCCTCAGGCAATCCTCCCACCTCGGCCTCCCAAAGTGCTGGGATTACAAGGTGTCAGCCACATGCCTGGCCCAATATTTTAACGTTTGAGAAGTTCCACATACAATTTGGATTTCTGGATTTTCTTTAAAAAATCAGAATCGCTTGAGGCCAAAAGTTCAAGATCAGCCTGGGTAACATAAGAAGACCCATCTCTACAAACAATTTTAAAATTGGTTGGGCATGGTGACACATGCCTGTAGTCCCAGCTACTCAGGTCAAGGACTGCTTGAGCCCAGGAGTTTGAGGTTACAGTGAGCTGTGGTTGTACCACTGCACTCTAGCCTGGGCAACATGAGCAAGGCCCCAACTCACAAAAAACAAAATCAGCTCTGCCACCCTGGAGAGTCCCCTGGTGACAATGGGTTGGAGCTAAGGACCAGGTGCCCCTGCAGACAGAACCCATGCCAGGTCACCACAGTCCTCCTGATTGCCTTATTGCCTCATGTCTGGCACCCACATATGTTACCTGCCTACACCCTGCAGGAATGAAGCTTGGAAACCTGAACTAGCTTAGCAGGGGCAAAGGTTTTGCATGAAAACCATGGGACCCCTACAGTGGGGTGTGTGTGTGGGCAGGGAGCATCTAAGAGCCAAGGAGATGCTGCCCAGGAAGCTTCTTGAGTTCCATTCTGATCCAAACCCTTGGCTGCTCTATCAGCCCATGGGAGAATTTAGCCAGGCCGACTTCCTGGAAGCAGAGATTTCCTTCTTACGCCCATCTCTCTGGCCCCAGACCAGCGCTGTGGACATCTTCTCTGCAGGCTGCGTGTTCTACTACGTGCTTTCTGGTGGCAGCCACCCCTTTGGAGACAGTCTTTATCGCCAGGCAAACATCCTCACAGGGGTTCCCTGTCTGGCTCACCTGGAGGAAGAGGTCCACGGTGAGGGAGCCCTGGGCCGGGCAGAGAAGGGAGGAAGGGCAAGACACTAGGCAGGCCTGAAGCAGACTTTTCTCTTCCTCTTCCATCCTCCAGACAAGGTAGTTGCCCGGGACCTGGTTGCAGCCATGTTGAGCCTGCTGCCACAGGCACGCCCCTCTGCCCCCCAGGTGCTGGCCCACCCCTTCTTTTGGAGCAGAGCCAAGCAACTCCAGTTCTTCCAGGTCAGAAGGAAAGCTTGGGAATGGCCCCCAAAAGTCCTAAGTTTGGGTCCTGGGCAATTAGAAATGGGATATTAGATTCGCTGAGGGAAAACAGGAAGTGCTACCTCGTCCTGGCAGCCTGGCTCTTTCCCTAAACTGGGAGCCAGCCTGGACTCCTAAACTCCACCATCTTGGCACTCTCCGGTCCACTCACTGCCAGCTTCGCCAGCCCCAGCTGCCCTTTGTATGGGAATATAGCCCATTCCTTTCCACGTGAGTCGTCACTCATGCTGTGCCAGTAGCCCACTGCACTTGTGTGAACTTGAGCAAGAGACTTCGTGCCTCTGAACTGCAGTTTGCTCATCTGTAGAAAGGGGACAGCAGTACCAAGCTCATAGGTTGGTGGTAAATAACAGAGGCATGGCACAGAGAAGCTTCACACCCCCAGAGGCAATGATCCTTGTCAGTCACCCTAAATCACTCCCCTAAGTCAGACAACACACTCCTGGCTATGTGGCATTTGGCCCCAGTCACAAGGCTCAGGAGCTCTCTGGGGCCCCAGGATGTCAGTGACTGGCTGGAGAAGGAGTCTGAGCAGGAGCCCCTGATGAGGGCACTGGAGGCAGGAGGCTGCACGGTGGTCCGGGACAACTGGCACGAGCACATCTCCATGCCGCTGCAGATAGGTAGAGGCTACACTCAGGTGGGCCTGGGCGGTGGAGGGGAGCCCAGCAGGGACAGTTTCAGGACACTAAATTCCCTGTCCACAGACCTGAGAAAGTTCCGGTCCTATAAGGGGACATCAGTGCGAGACCTGCTCCGTGCTGTGAGGAACAAGGTATGTGTTGGGGCCTGGGTGGGCCTGGGTCTTGGGGAGGCATGGCTGCAGCTGAGCCAGGGTTCTCTTGCTCTACCTACCCCCAGAAGCACCACTACAGGGAGCTCCCAGTTGAGGTGCGACAGGCACTTGGCCAAGTCCCTGACGGCTTCGTCCAGTACTTCACAAACCGCTTCCCACAGCTGCTCCTCCACACGCACCGAGTCATGAGGAGTTGCGCCTCTGAGAGCCTCTTCCTGCCCTACTACCCACCAGACTCAGAGGCCAGGGGGCCGTGCCCTGGGGCTGCAGGGAGGTGAAGTGGGCCGGAGGCCACACAAATGGTCTCCATGCTGGCTAGCTGAAGAGCTGAGCCTGTGGCTGGCCTCAGAATCAGAATCAGAAAAGACTGCCAGGCTGGGTGCAGTGGCTCACGCCTATAATACCAGCATTTTGGGAGGCTGAGGTGAGAGGATCACTTGAGCTCAGGAATTCGAGACCAGCCTGGCCAACATGGCAAGACCCCACCTCTACAAAAAATTTGAAAAATTAGCCAGGCATGGTGGCGCACGCCTGTAGTCCCAGCTGCTTGGGAGGCTAAGGTGGGAGAATCGCTTGAGCCCAGGAGTTCCAGGCTGCAGAGAGCCAGGATCATGCCACTGCACTCCAGTCTGGTCCACAGAGACACTGTCACCCCCTACCCCCAACAAGACTGGCAGAGGCTGGGCAGCCTGGGGCTGATGAAGCAGAGATGTTCCCTGGATCCCAGGCCCTGGCACCCCTCAGGAAATACAAGAAAAAGAAGATTCACATCTGTTTAATGTGTATAAAGCCAAGGAAAGGACAGTTCCGAACTCAATAGAAATATTCTGTACAATTCATATGGTGGGGTTGAGGGGGAGGGGACGAGGCTGTAGAACCCACACCCGAACATGTACAAAAATAACTTACACAGCAACCCCCACCTGCAAGGATGATGCAGCTCTGCCCAGCCACCAGGGCTGGGGGGCACACTGCAGACATGGCACCGCAGGAGCCAACCAGTATGGGCCCCAGATGCAGGTGGGAGTGAGGAGGGCACCAGTCCGGAGGGGAGGGCGGCTATTAGGAGGCCTTGAGGCGGTTGCTGGCCGAGCGTGAGCTCAGCAGCTTGTCCACCATAGTGCGGGCATAGCGGAGCCGGCTGGCCAGCTCCTTGCAGCAGCCGTACTCTTCCAGGAGACTCAGGCGGTACGTGCGGAAGTCCCGCTTCTCATCGATGTAGGTCACGGCTGCCATCAGTGGGCACAAGATGAGCTTGGTGTGATCCTGCAAGAGAAGAGGGGCAGGGATTGGTGATCCCAGACGCCAGTGTATGTTAGGGAGTAGAGGGAAGACACAACAGGTTATAGGTACCTGAGCCGCTCACTCCACACTCAACTCACATGGGCCACTGCCAAGCACGTGGAGCCTACCCCAGCTCTCTCCTGCCCCTGGTGACATCCAGCTCACCTGGAAGAAGTTGATCTGCACGCTGCCATTGCTGAGGTGCAGGATGATGGCACTGCGGGTGCGGAACCAGGTCCGCAGGTAGGGCAGCCGGGCGAGCTCATCACCTTCACGCGGCGTGATGTTGGCACCTGCCTTCAGCAAATGCTCACTCATGTAATTGCGGAAATATTTAAGGAGGGTGATCTGGATGAAAAGTAAGTGAGGGGTTCCAGAATTAAGAGTCTTGCCCTCCAGCACAGGTCCCACTCCCGCAACAGCACGCCCCATGGGCCGGACGGCACTTACCTTCTTCATCAAGGAGTTGGGATGGGAACTCACGGTGAGGTAGGACTCGGTGCCGTCACGCTCTATGTACTGCAGGCTGTCACCATCGTTGTAGAGGATGAGGCGTGTTGAGTCATTGAAGAGCACCCCCACGCTGTTATCACAGAGCTGATACCCTAGGGATCAGTGGAGAGAGGTCTCAGAAAGGGGGAATAGAAAGTGGGGAGTGGGGCTGGATGCGGTGGCACATGCCTGTGATTCCAGCACTTTGGGAGGCTGAGGGAGGAGGATTGTTTGAGCCTAGGAGTTTGAGACCAGTCTGGGCAACGTAATGAGACCTCATCTCTACAAACTATTTTAAAAATTAGCTGAGCGTGATGGTGCATGCCTGTAGTCCCAGCTACTTAGGAGGCTGAGCCCGGAGCCAGGCATAAGCCTGGAAGTTTGAGGCTGTAGTGAGTCATGACTGTGCCACTGCACTCCAGCCTGGGCGACAGAGTAGGACCCTGTCTCTGGGCAGTGGGGGAAAAAGGCTGGGAAGTCGGGGAGCACTGGGAGCTGGAATTGGGAGGCCTGGGATGGAGAAAGGAGGGCACTAAGAGTACCTGGGAGCTCAAAAAGGCCAGAGCCTGTAACAACTGAAAAGGTCACCTGGCTGTGCCTGAGTCACCCACCTGGTTCTGGAAGAAACCTACCAAGGCCGTACTTGTCCGAATAGTCCACCCACTTGCTGACCCAGAAGATGGGGATGCAGGCAGGATCCTCAGCCTCCTCTAAGACAGAAACAGACAATTGGTCAGGACCAGCCTCCTCTTCTCTGGTCCACACATGTGGCCCACACCAGGGAACAAGGAAGCCTGCTAGGCACACCACCTGGGCTCAGTTGAGAGGCCTAGGGCCCCAGAGAAGAGCAAAGCAGGGCCTCTGCTGCCAACAGGCTCAGACAAGCAGCAGCATAGACATCTCTACACAGAAAGTTTCAGCACAGCGCACCAAGTTTCACTCACTCCTTCATTCCACTGACCCATTTACTGAAGGCCTACTGTGCCAGGCACTGTTGCAGGTACAGTGAGCAACAGACAAAACCCCAGCCTCCACAGAGCTTACACTGTGGTTGCAGGGGCAAAGACTAATCAAATTAAGTATGGGGAAAATATCAGTGACTTCTATCATGGTAAGAGTCAGAGACATCTAGTTTTCCAGTTTGGAGTAATTAGGAAACTGTGAAGACAGAAGCCGGTTGCAAACACATTAAAATGTTATATTCAGTGCATGCAACAAACACCTTACTTTAAATCCAATCAAAGAAGAAGGACGTGTTGGACTATGTTGGGTGAGAAGTGTTATGGAAAACTATGCAGTGGGTAAGGGGATGAGAAGCACCAGCAGCGGGGCCAGGGAGATGCTCACAGAGGTGACACTGGAGCAGACACTTGAAGGAGGCCACAGTGTGAGCCATGTGGTGTCTGGAAGAAGTGCTTTCATGCCAGGGCCAGGGAGAAAGCCCTGAGGCTGCAGTACGTCTGGGTCTGTTATTTCAAGGGTCTTGAAGAAACAACAGGAACTTACTGAGCAAAAGAAACAGCGTGTGAAGGTGGCACATCGAGGTGCTAGAGTAAGAGACGGATCAGAAAAGGCAGCAGCAGCCACAGCAAGCAGGGCCTTGGATATCAGGAAATGGGGAAACCAATGGTCCTATGGAGACAGGGCCTGGACAAGTCACCAGTGCTTTGTTGGCCAAGGCTCCTCCTGCCTTATCCAGATGCCCCAAGCAATCCTGCCCCGCCCAGGGCCCCACAGTACCCACCTTGCCTGACCAGCCCACGCTCCGAGGGCTTGGAGGCATTGACACTGTGCAGCTGCTGCAGCATGTCACTGAGGTGGCAGTCGACCACCTCGCCTGTCTCTCGAACCACTGGTTCTTCCTTTTCCCGGGTACGCTCAGGCAGGGGGTTCTCCAAGCCTAGAAAGGTGACAAAAACAAGGGCATTGGGAAGGGCATAGGACTCTCCTGCCACAGCTGAAACTCTTCCGAAAGAAAAATTCTCTTAGCTACCATTGCTTTGGGGAAACTGAGTCAGTGCCTGGTTATTAGAGCAGCAGCTGCCATGCTCAGGTGACAGGCACAAGTATTCACTGTGAGGCAACAGATCTTCAGATGCTCTGGCCTCTGACCCAACGATGTGGCCCTGCCCTGCAGGATACGACCTGCCACTCAGACAGACAGCTTGAAGGCAACAGCAGCTCAGAGCTGCCCAGCTTCGAGCAAAGAATTAAAAGCATCTTCAGCATCTGGGCAGATGGAAGGGCTGAGTAGTTCAGTTCATCCACAGAATGGATTCAGTTGGCATTTAAATAAAAACACAAGAAATTTTTTTCCACCCCAAAATTTGCTTTATATGCTTATTTATAACCAAAAAAAGCTTGAAAAGATACATGAAATTTTAATGCTGATTATATCTGGGCAGTAGAAACACAGATTATTTATGTTGTCTTTTTCCTTATTTATTTATTCCCCCACCAACATGTGGTAATTCTCCTTGCATAATATAAAATGTTTAAGTTTTCAATTACAAAACAATGCCATGATAGGGACTTAGGTATGAAATAATAAGATATTAGGGATTTGCTTTAAACACTCCAGCAAGGCCAGGCCCAGTGGCTCACACCTGTAATCCCAACACTATGAGAGGCCAAGGCAGGTAGACTGAGCTCAGGAGTTTGAGACCAGCCTGAGCAACATGGCAAAACCCTGTCTCTACTAAAAATACAGAAACTAGCTGGACATGGTGTCCCAGCTACTTGGGAAGCTGAGGTGGGAGAGTCACTTGAACGCAGGAGGCTGCTGTGAGTCATGATCTTGCCACTGCACTCCAGCCTGGGCAACAAAGCAAGACTGTCTCAAATAAATAATAAATAATAATAAATAGTACATAATAATTTTTTTAAACTCCAGTAACAAAAAAGGCAGGGAGGCTGGAATAAATAAAAAAAGTCTGTCCAAATGTTGATAAGTAGTAAAAATAGATGAAACATGGGACTCATCATACAGTTCTCTCCACCTTTGGGTAACTGAAAATTTCCTTAAGTTTTTAAAATGCTATATGAAAAATTAAAACTGAAAGAAAAAAAGTACGAAGCTGAGGCAGGAGGATCACTTGAGCTCAAGAGTTCGAGATCAGTGTGCGCAACAGGGCAAGACCTCATCTCTACAAAAAATTTAAAAATTGGTCAGACATGGTGGCACATGCCTAAAGTCCCAATTACTTGGGAGGCTGAGGGTGGAGGATCACTTGAGCCCAGGAGGTCAAAGCTACAGTGAGGTACAACTGTGCCACCGTGCTCCAGCCTGGGAAACAGAGCAAGACCCTATCTCAAATTAAAAACAATAAATGAAAACAGAGAAATAAGTAATCCTTTAAAATATAGCCCAAAGAATAAAATATCCATGAGTCTATTTCAGACATAACCAAATAAATAAATCAATGGGAGAGAAGGAACAGCTCTTCCTTACAGAAGAATTCCAATTATTAAATGTAGAGAAAGGAAAAGAAAAATTGCCATTAGAACATCACTGTAGGCAGGACACAGTGGCTCACGCTTGTAATCCTAACACTTTGGGAGGCAGAGGAGGATCACTTGAGGGCAGGAGTTTGAGATAAACCTAGTCAACATAGTGAGATCTTGTCTCTACAAAAAAAATTTTTTTTTTTTTTTTTTGAGACAGAGTCTTGCTCTGTTGCCCAGGCTGGAGTGCAGAGGTGAGATCTCGGCTTACTGCAACCTCCACCTCCCGGGTTCACGTGATTCTTGTGCCTCAGTCTCCTGAGTAGCTGAGATTACAGGTGCACACCACCATGCCTGGCTAATTTTTTGTACTTTTAGTAGAGATGGGGTTTTGCCATGTTGCCCAGGCTGATCTCAAACTCCTGAACTCAGGCAACCCGTCCACCTCGGCTTCCCAAAGAAAAAAATTTTTAATTAGCTGGGTATAGTGGCACATGCCTGTAGTCCTAGCTACTCTGGAGGGTGAGGCACGGGGACTGTTTGAGCCCAGGATGTTGAGGCTGCAGTGAGCTATGATTGAGCCACTGCATTCCAGCCTGGGTGACAGCAAGTCCTGAGACCTGTCTCAAAAAAAATTCCACTGTAGTAGCTGCAAGGTATGTGGAAACTCTGAGGAGTTTTTTGTTGTTGCAACTTTTCTGTATAAGCCTAAAATTATTCCAAAATGAAGTTTAAGAAAAACCAATACCTAAAAATTGAAAACTGAAAAATGAACTGAAGTTGTACATCAAATTGGTGATATATCCACAGAGCAAAAAAGTATTTCAAGTGACTTTTTAAAACTATGTATCCTTAGTGAAATATACTTTAAAGACAATTAGAAATGCAAGAAAATATCATTTAATAACAGGAACTCATATATGTTGAAAATTTTAAGCATATTAAATGTAAGGGAACAAGATTTTCAGTTTAAGAGAAAAGAAATATGAGTATAAACCAAACAAGTAAAAACAGATTAATATTGTGTCTGAATCAGACACTTAAAAATTACCAAAAGAAAAGCAGTAACTCCCCAGTGGAGGAGAAGAAAATCACTGTAAGACAGTATGTATCAATGTTAAATTTCCTGAACTTGGGAATTGTGCCAGGTATTATTGTTATGTAAAAGAATCTGTTTGTAGGAAGCATACACTGAAGCATTAAGGGTAAAGTGTAGGACGTATACAACTTTTGAATGTTCAGAAAAAAGAGGGCAATTGATAAATGCGAAAAAAAGTGTTAACTAGTGAATCTGGGCAAAAGGGGAGAATGGGAGTGTCTTTTTGGTCTCTGCTACGTTTTTCATAAGCTTACAATAATATAAAAAAATGTTTAAAAATGTGTGATTTGGAAATACCAACACAGACTCAATGTCAGTCTTCCCCCACTGCCACAAATGCAGTTCCTAATTCTGTTCTCTGAAGAGACGTAGAAGCAATGACAACCTAAGCAATGGCATGTGGTTTTTTGATTTTTAAGAAAATGTCCATCTTTTTTAAGAGAAGTATTCTGAAGTTTATACACGTATAAAAATGGCAAAGTGCCTGGGGTTAACTTTAATACTTCAAAGAAACAAAAATAAATGAATGAAGCAAACTTGACAAAATCCTGATAACTAATTATTGAATCTGATAAGTATGAGGGAATCCATTACATTATGCTCTATATGTGTACTTGAAAATTTTCATGCTGGCTGGGTGCAGTGGCTCACACTTGTAAACCCAGTACTTTGGAAGGCCAAGGCAGGCAGATTGCTTGAGCTTAGGAGTTTGAGAACAGCCTGGGCAACAAAGTGAGAATCTGTCTCTACAAAAAATATAAAAAATTAGCCAGGCATGGCAGCACACGCCTGTAGTCTCAGCTGAGATGAGAGGATGACTTGAGCCTGGGAGGCAGAAGTTGCAGTGAGCCAAGATCACACTACTACACTCCAGCCTAGGAGACAACCAGACCTGTCTCAAAAAAAAAAAAAAAGGAAATTTTTATGTTTTTCAATGAATCATGAAAAAGTGTTAGAAATTTTTTTAAAGGCCAGGCGTAGCAGCTCATGCCTGTAATCCCAACACTTTGGGAGGTAGAGGTGGGAGGATCACTTGAGCCCAGGAGTTCCAAGACCAGCCTAGGCAACATGGCAAAACACTGTCTCTACAAAAACAAAAAAAAATTAGCCAGGCATGGTGGCTCATGCCTGACAGTCCCAACTACTTGGGAGGCTGAGATGGGAGGACTGATTGAACCCTAGAGTTGAAAGCTGCAGTGAGCTGTGATTGTGCCTCTACACTCCAACCTGGAAAACAGAGGAGAGACCCTGTCTCCAAAAAATTAAATTAATTAATTAAAGTGATTGGAAAGAATTTTTTAGGCTTGGTATTCAGTCCATTTTCTTCTTCTTGAGCATAGCAGGTTTATCCAGCCATGGTAAGGTCAGTCTTTCCCGGCAAGGCCAAGGAGCAGATGGGCATAGGAATCACGAATTTAAGGACAGAGGTCTGTCCTAAACCAAACCTGAGCTCTTGGGGCCAGGGACTAAGCCACACACACCCCTACAACCTGGGCTTTCTCTGGGGAGTCTGCTCTCTTACCCAGACCCTTGTTGTACCTTTATTGAGGACTGTGAGGGGCTTCCGGTTGCTGGGGTCCAGGCTGCTGGGAGCAATTGAAAACCTCGGTGGAATGGTCAGGCAGGTGATGGGGAGACGGGCAGGGATATAGCCAGAAGTAAAGAACTCGTCGTTAAGCAGCTCATTAATGGTTGGGCGGGCAGTGGGATCTGTCTGAAGCATCTTCTGGATGAGGGAGGCAGCCACGGGGTTGATGTGCTGGGGCAGAGAGAGGGACAGCCATAAGCAGAATGTGAAGGGGACCCGGAGTACAGTACGGCCTCAAAGGGGCTGCAGGCCAATAGACCACACGCAGTTCCCAGTCTCAAATACAGCCCAGGTTAGTGGTTCACAACTTGGTTCAATGCCAACTTCTCCACTGTCGGCTTTACTGAGCACCTTTGACAGAAGGGTCAATGGACTGTGGCCTAGCACCAACTCACTTTCCTGGCACTTACTATGTGCCAGGAAAGCATTCTAAGCACTCCTGTGCTTAGCTCACTTAGCCCTCACTAATACATCTAAGGGGTGGGGCTCTATTACCATCCCTTTTTTGCAGAGGAGGAAAGTGAGGCACAGAGAGGGTGAAGGCCTTGTCTAGTTGGCTTGATTCCATGCTGTCTCTGACAGTGAACTGACACTTTGTGATGGATTTACTATGTCCGTCCTTATGGTGACAGGCCTCTTGGCTTCACACAAGGACACTACACTTCAAACTGGCTGTGTGCTAGGCTTCTGCAGGAACCAGCTATTCCTTTAAATGCATTTCTGTTGGTGGTTGTGAAAATACACACCATGGCCAGGTGCGGTGGCTCACGCCTGTAATCCTAGCACTTAGGGAGGCTGAGGCGGGCAGATCACGAGGTCAGAAGATTGAGACCATCCTGGCTAACACAGTGAAACTCTCTTTCTACTAAAAATACAAAAAAAAGTAGCCGGGTGTGGTGGCGGGCACCTGTAGTCCCAGCTACTCAGGAGGCTGAGGCGGGAGAATGGCGTGAACCCGGGAGGGGGAACTTGCAGTGAGCCGAGATCGCATCACTGCATTCCAGCTTGGGCGATACAGTGAGACTCTGTCTCAAAAAAAAAAAGAAAAAAAAGGAAATTGCACACCACTATGCCATTAGGAAGCCCTGGGATTCACAGTGATTCATAATTCTGTGAGCACTTACTACATGCAAGGCACTCTGTGAGGTGCTCCAAGGCAGGAACTCCACTTTATAGATGGGAACTATGGTTCAGAAGATGCAGGCCAGGCTGGGCATGGTGGCTCATGCCTGTAATCCCAGCACTCTGGGAGGCTGAGGTGGGTGGATCACCTGAGGTCAGGAGTTCGAGACCATCCTGGCCAACGTGGTGAAACCCCATCTCTACTAAAAATACAAAAAAAAAAAAAAAAAGCCAGGCGAGGTGGTGGGTACCTGTAATCCCAGTTACTTGGGAGGTTGAGGCAGGAGAATCGCTTGAACCTGGGAGGTGGAGGTTGCAGTGAGTCGAGAGTCGAGATCATGCCACTGCACTGGGGAACAAGAGTAAAACTCCACCTCAAAAAAAAAAAAAAAGAAAAAAAAGAAAAAAAGAAGATGCAGGCCATTTGCCCAATGTGATCTGGCTAAGTGGCAGAATCCATTTGAATTAAGATAATCCATTTCCAAAGCTTAAGCACTTTAGCCTCCTACTCCTTCCCACCTCCTTTGTTTTTTGCTTTTTACGCAACTTTTGGGCTACCCAATCTCTTGAGAATCTGCCAACTCTCTCCTCCTAGAAAAAATGCTTATGTGCACATACATGTCAAGTTCTGTATGTAATTTCAGACACAGGCCCTCGCAAGCTCTGTGGCTACCCTAGAGGTGGGATAGACCTATTTCTGGTCTTAGGATATTGCTGGGCTCCATAAACAGCTTTTGGGGAAAACAAAATAAATGTAAAGTTAAAGCATCACTAGTCACCTTGGGAATACTGTATTCATTCTTCTTGATCCGGAGGTAGGTCTCTTTTAGGCAAGAAGTCTCAAAAGGTGGTTTGCCCACTAACAAGGTATACCTGTAAGCACAAGGTAGGATTTGGCACCAGCCTCCCAGCCACAACCCAGACATAAGAGAAATCATCTCAGGGTCAGAACAAAGACCAGGCATCCTCTGGACACTCACTGTAACTCTGGGGCCCCTGAAGACAACCCCCAAGTCCATTGAGCAGCCCCAGGAGCCATGATATTGGCTAGAATGAGCCCTCAGCAGAATACACGTGGTGAGACTAGGATTCTTGGGGGCCAGTGATTTTTTAGCTGTGGCCTGTGGTCATCCAGGACTCTGTGCAAGGGCCTCAGAGGCTGCCTGTCATGCAAAACAGGTCAAAGGGCTACCTGCACTTACAGAAGCAGCTCTACCTTTAGCAATTCTGTACTTAAGTCTTCAAGTTTTCATTTGAAAAAACCCCACTGCGAAGATGTATGAAAGTCACTGCTACAACTCATTTCTAACTCTCCAGTACCTAGGCCCCAAACAAGAAAGGTAATACCTGAAAAGGCCCAAGCCTCTGCCTGCCACCAACCGCTGCTGATGGTCTCAATCCAGACAGACCACTGGCACGTCATCCTTCCATCTGTAACTCCTGGCCTAATTTCCCCCACCATGATCATGTTCATCAGTGTTTAAGACCTTATTGTGCACGGGAATTACCAAGTGACCTTGTTAAAAAATCCAGATTCTGACCCAGTCAGTAATCTGGGTCCTGAGATTCCGCATATAGGTTCCCAAATGATGGTGATGCTGCCCTGTGGACCACTCTAGCAAAGGACTAGAGTAAGGTTGTGGAGACGACTTCTCCTCCTCCTTCTCCTCCTCCTCCTCCTCCCCCATGTCCTAGGCTGCAGAAATCCAACAGGATACACCAGTGACAGGGAAAGATATGGCAGTTAGGCTTTGTTTGGGGGTAACCTGTCCCCTGCAGTAGGTTTGCTGTAAAGCAGGCTGAAAGGTCCACAGAAAAGGTCAGCCAGGTAGGATGTCCCAAAGTTGCCCCTGCTGAGACCAGGTAGGTCCAGAGATAACTCCCAACTTACATGATACACCCAATAGACCACACATCCACCTCGAAACTGTGCCCTTTCTTGCTCAGCACCTCGGGAGCTATGTAATTAGGAGTCCCGCACAGGGTCTTCTTCCTCTCCCCGTCATATTCGACTTTGGTTGCCAGTCCAAAATCCCCTGGGACAGAGGGAGGAAGAGCGGGTACTTAGATGCCAGCCTCTGCCATCTGTCAATGCAGAAGGCTAGTTAAGGTTTGACCATCAAGAACCAGGGCCATTTGATCCCATAAGCTTCTGCTCCTTGTACGCAGCAAGGCTTGTCCAGGAATCTTCCCGCCATGCTGACACCAGGGAGGTGCCTCCAGTGACCCTTCTCACCCCTCCCCTTAGAAAGGGGCTATGCTTCGAAACCGGAACTGGCAGGGATAGCAAAACTCCAGTGCCTTCAAGGATCAAGCAAGTTAACCTCCAAGACTTGGCAAGTCTGTGAAGAAGTAATAGGGAGGAGTAGAGACTGTGGCAAACAAGTCTGAAGGGGACAGCTGCTTTCCAGCCCAGCAAAGGGCTGCCCTAAGAAAATGCTGTCCTCGTATTACTGGAGCTTTCATGACTGTTTAAAAGGAGCTCTGAATCAAAATTTTTATGTCAAACCTTCCAATTTAAAAAATAAAAACAAATTCAAATTCTTTGTAAAAAAAGAAAAATGCTGTATTGGGGCACAAAAAAAATAATGCATCTGTAGGCAAGATACTGACTTGTGGGTTCTTTGTTTGAAATTTCTGGACTAAAGAGAGAATTCTAGAGGCAATCAACAGCCCAAACTTCCCACCATCTTCTTCCTTCCTCCTGGTCTCCTTCCTTTCTCCCAGCCTCCTCCAAATTCCAGCCTCTTGGAGTGATGTCAAGCACCCCTGCAGGCTCAGCAACTCACCTATTTTCACCTCCAGATCTTCATTCAGGAAAAGGTTGCCCAGCTTGAGGTCTCGGTGAATAACTCGGTTTCGGTGCAGGTACTGACAGCCAAGCACAATTTGCCTTAGGTAGTATCGGGCCTCAGGCTCAGTCAGGGCTTTCCTCCTCTTGTGCAGCTCCAGGAGAGACTGTGGATGGGAAGGAGAGGGCAGGAGGGATGGGGAGGTGGTATTGAGGCCGGTGGGGAAGGGAGAGGGTTACCAGGCAAAGGAAGCACAGGACTGGACTCTGGACTCCCAAAGGATGAAAGGGGGTCTTGGTGGGTTTCTCTCCTTCCCTATGCCCCCACCCCATTCCTTCTCCAGGACAACTGGCATCTGGACCCTGCCTTAACACTGTCCACAACCATTCACAGCACCCCTTCTCCTACTAGCTTTCTCCCTTACCTGGGGGTCCTCTCTCAGCCCCACTCTGGAAGTCCCCAGCAGCAGATCCCTTTCCTGACTCTTATCTCCCTCGGAAGGCCCGAAGTCTAGCTCCAACTACCCCCTCACTGACCCAGCTATACTCCGGAAGCTCCCAGTGCCCGGCATCACTAACCTGGGACTCCTCCCTGGCCACTCCAGGGCCCTAGCGTCCATTACCAGCACCCCTCCCCCCAAGTACCTCGCGTCCAGAAGCTGACCTATCAGCAACATGACTCAGACTCCACTTCACTGGAACCCCGTCCTCTAGCAGCTCCAAGAGCCAAGAAGCCCTTACCAAAGACACTTTCCATACCTAAGAGGGAGGCTCCCAGCACCCTTCTCTAGCAGCTCCAAGTCCCAGGTACTCCCTTCCTGGGCACTCTCCAGCAGCTCCAGGTCTGGGCGCTCCAACTGCCCCGCAGGCAGTTCCAGTTCCCCAGCAGCGACACTCACCCTCCGGCGGCAGAGCTCCAACACCACGAACACGAAGTCGTTGTCCTCGAAAAAGCCGTGGAATCCTACGACGTGCTGGTGGGCGAGGCTGCGGTGAATGGATATTTCCATGGACATCTTCTCCCTCTGGTGCGGCTTGAGCAGCAGAGACTTAGGCACAATCTTGCCCGCGAACACCTCCTTGGTGTCTGCGTCCGAGATCTCGAAGCACTTGGCAAAGCCACCCTTGCCCAAAAAGCGGCCCCGCACATAGCGCCGCCGGCTGCGTGGGTCCACTAGGACCTCCGGGATCTCTTTCGCCGGTGGGGCCGCCGCCGGAGCTCCAGGAGCTGCAACTCCGGGGACCCCGGCTTTCCCAGGGTCGGCCGGTGCCCGTGCCAGCTTCCCTGCAGTCACCGCCGCACTCATGCTCCCGGAGCTGCTCTGCTGACCTGGATCCGAGCAGACGCTCCGCACCGCTCCGCTCCTCCCTGAATTCAAACGCGGCGCTGGGAACGTTACAAAAGCCTGCGCGCCACTGATTGGCCGCGGGGATTTAAAATCCAAACCCGCCCGCCGCGCGGCACCATGGGAGCGCCCTGCGCAGCAGCTGCCTTTAAACCCGGACCCAGCCGGGGAAAAACTTGATTGACAGGGACGCCCGAACACGTGGGTGAGCCTGGGAAACGAAATCCGGCGTGGATGCGGAGACCCAGCCCCGAGAGGGGAGGAATTCCTTCGGGGTTTCTCCCTTTCTCGGGCGTCCGGGAAAGCTCCTGCAGTTTGCTGGCGCCTCCTCCAGGAAGCTTTTCCTTAAATCTTCCTCCACCTCCACCCCACCTAGAATATAAGCAATCTAAGAGTAGGGAACTGGCATGCCAGCAGGTCGTTTAAGAGAGCCTTAGCATCCGCCTCCCGATGCCGTCAGCTCTCAGCCAAGCCACTTTAGTTCACGAACTGAACTAAAATCTAAGTAAAAGTGTGCTTGCCAAACATACCTTCATGGCTAGTCTGCTCCTTCAAATAACTGCCGCTTCTGAGCTCCTCCGGATTACAAAGCAACGCTGCTTAAAGAAGGGGCCATGGAACAGCAGCATCGCCATCACCTGAGAGCTTGTTAGAACCGCAAAGGCAAACATTCAGGCCCTACCCCAGACCTCCTGAGTCAGTGTCCGCCTCTCAACAAGACTGCTCAGGTGATTCCTACACATCCTGAAGTTGGTGAAGCACAGTACCAGAGTCCTCCATGATGCAACGAAGCTGTCTGGCCTGCTCGCTACTGAATTTCCCAGGGCCTAAAATAGTGGACACTCAGTTTCTTGGTCAGAGGGACGGAAGGTTGGAAGAATGCCTAGCAAACTGGCAGGTCATAGCCAAATGTGTCTTGCAGGGTTTTGTTTGGCCTCCCACTTTTGTGTGTGTGTGTGTGTGTGACGGAGTCTTGCTCTGAAGCCCAGGCTGGAGTGCAGTGGCACGATCTCGGCTCACTGCAACCTCTGCTTCCCGGGTTCAAGCAGTCCTCCCGCCTCAGCCTCTCAAGTAGCTGGAATTACAAGCGTGCACCACCATGCCCGGCTAATTTTTGTAATTTTAGTAGAGAAGAGGTTTCCCCATGTTGGCCAGGCGGGTCTTGAACTCCTGACCTCAAGTGATCTGCCCACCTTGGCCTCCCAAAGTGCTGGGATTACAGGCATAAGCATCCATGCCTGGCCATTGTAAAACATTTACAGCATTTAAAAGAGGAGGTCATAAAAATTTGGATTTGTGGCCTTTCCTGAAAAAAATCAGCTCTAGCTACTTAACTCTGTGCCTACATGCTTTCAGTTTGCCACAGTTCCCAGCTACACCCCTTTGTTCTATAGGTGGCAACCCTGGAACAGCAAAATACCTAAGTTAGAAGCTCTTTCTCTGTGCCTCCTTAGCACCCTCTGATCCTTCATAGAGCCCAGCAAAAATCAACCATACTATAAGCATCCTTCACCTGCCTTGCAGCTAAGGGGAAGGGCAATGAAGCAATGATGCTGTCCTTTCCACCCCATGTCCCAAGCTCCCAGAGCAGTGCTTGGTAAAAAAAAAAAAAAAAAAAAAAAAAGGGTACTTACTAAAATGTTGGCTGAATAAAAGGAAGACTTTGAAAAATTAAGTTATTTAGTACCCCTATGGTGTGAATAATTCTTTTTATTGGAATTTAATATACTTACAGAAAAAAATGTACATATCATAATTGTACACAGAGCTCAGTGAATTTTCACAAACTGAACACATCTGTAAACCACACCCAGATTGAGAAAGAGAACATGACAAACACCCTACAAGTCTCCCTTGTGCCCTGTGCCAGGGGTGCCACCACCACCTCCTAGTCTGATGATGTACTAGGAGATTCACAGACTCAGCCTGTAATCATACTTATGGCTATGATTTACTACAGCAAAAGGCTAGGAAGCAAAATCAGCAAAGGAAAAAAGTGCATGGGCAAAGTTCAGGGAAACCAAGTGCAAGCCTCCCACGGTCCTCTCCCAGCAGAGTCACACAGGACACAATTCCTCCAGCAATCAGCTGTGACAACCCATACACACTGTTGTGTACAAGGGAAGCTCATTACAGACTCAGTGTTCAGGGCTCTGATTGGGAGCTGGTCACCTCATCCTCTGCCTAACACATATGAAAATCCAAGACTCGCAGAAGGCAGGCAGATGTTGGGCATAATCCACATTGTTTGTACAAACAGTTTAGGCACAGTGAACCACTCTTATCATTTAGGGATTAATGAGAACCCTCCTGAAATCCAAGCTTTCAGATGCCAGCCAAGGGCCAGCCTTGCAAACAGGCCTGCTTTCTCATCTCTTTTCACACAGTCCATCTTCTTATTGAGGATTCTTTACAGCAAAATTATTATCAGTAGGACCCCATGCAAAAGGGTGAGACCAATCTGAAGTATGGACCTCAGTTCCTCCTGGTAGGGTCCTGGATTTAACCAGCTAAAATAAATCCCATTAACCATAAAGTCTATCTTAGAAATCCAGGTGGCTTCCTCCTTAATTCCTTTTTTTTTGAGATGGAATCTTGCTGTCACCCAGGTTGGAGTGCAGTGGCGTGATCCTGGCTTACTGTAACCTCCACCTCCTGGGTTAAAGCGATTCTCCTGCTTCAGCCTCCCAAGTAGCTGGGACTACAGGTACACACCACCACACCCAGCTAATTTTTTTATTTTTGTATTTTTACTAGAGACGGGGTTTCACCATGTTGGTCAGGCTGGTCTCAAACTCCTGACCTCAGGTGATCTGCCTGCCTCAGATTCCCCAAGTGCTGGGATTACAGGCATGAACCACTGTGCCCGGCCCTTAACTGCCATCTGAAACTTTTTTTTTTTTTTTTTTTTTTAACCTGACCTGAGGCATCAATTCAGGCACAGTACAACTCTGGTCAGTAAGTGGAAGCTAACGCAAATGCTTTCCAGGGCTGAGGGGATATCATGAGAGTCATGGTCATGTACAGAAGCATAGTCCCAGGGGCACAGGTGGTACCCCTGGAAACAAAGAATTTGCAATATTAGGGCACCTCAAGCAGGACATCCATTAGTCAAGCCGTACAGGTGAACAGGCCTCCCACCAGGGGAGGTCTCCTGCCCTAGTGTTTCCAGTTCCATCTGAAAAGTTCCTGGAGTTCTTGGCTTCCAAGGGACTGCCTGAAGGCAGTGAGTCCCAAACAGTTTTGCTTGTTCAGGATACAAGTTGATCCATCTCATGAGCATGGATGACATTTGTGGGAGATCTTCATGGAAAGCATGGGAGCTGGACCCACTCTGTTGTCAGTCTGAACTCAAAGCACTCACAGCACATGGAAAGGCAGCAAGCATTGGGAATTTTCCTTCAGCAAGAGGTGGCTTCTAGGGATCGATCAAGCCTCCCCAGGTGCCAGGCTTTAATTATTTTCTCTAATGTTACAAAAACAGTCGTGCCCTGTTCAGCAATCATAACATTGCATTTTTTCAACCATCTCTTTCTCTCAGCCAGGCCTTTCCTCTGGAGGGTTTGTATGTAAGAGGCACAAAAGCATTTTTGTAGATAAACTTTTTTGTTTATTTTATTTTTCTTTGAGATAGGGTCTGGCTCTGTTGCCCAGGCTGGAGTGCAGTGGCACGATTTTGGCTCACTGCAAATCTCCGCCTCCTGGGCTCAAGCCATCCTCCTACCCTCAGCCTCCTAAGTAGCTGGCACTACCGGCACATGCCATCATCCCCAGCTAATTTTTGCATTTTTTGTAGACATAGGGTTTCGCCATGTTGCCCAGGCTGGTCTTGAACTCCTGAGCTCAAGCAATCTGCCCACCTCGGCCTCCTGAAGTGCTGGGATCATATGTGTCCATCAATGTGCCTGGCCAACTTTTTTTTTTTAATCATCATCCTAGAGTTCAAGTAGATAAATGTTTTTGTGCAACTTAACCAGAAAGACACATTCAGGAATTCGTAATGATGTGTGGAGGGTTGAACTGTGTCCCCACAAAAATTCATGCTGAAGCCCTAATCACCTGTACCTCAAAATGTGAGTATATTTGGAGATAGGCCCTGAAGAAGTAACTAAGTTAAAATGGGATTGTTAGGATGGGCCCTAATCCAACCTGACTGGTATCTTTCTTAAAAGAGACTATTAGGACACAGACACATAGACAGAGGGACCACACGAGAACACACTAAGAAGGCAGCCATCTGCAAGCCAAGCAGAGAGTCCTCAGAAGAATCCAAACCTGTCAACACCTTGTCCTGGACTTTCAGCCTCCAGAACTGCGGGAAAATAAGTTTCTATTGTGTAAGCCACTCGGTTTGTGGTACTTTATTATGGTATCCTTAGCAAATGAATAAAGGATGAAACTCTGAATTTTTTTAAATTTCAAAATGTGTTTACATAATCTTCCACCTCTTTTGTCCTGATTATTCAATGAGCAGCCTAAAAAAAGCCTAATACCTTTCTGGGGACAGCTACATTTCAATAATCCACCTACCTTACTAAGCTGTGTGTGCTGGGAGAAAAGTGAGGGAAGTAGAGTCAGGTTGTCAGTCCACTGTTGCAAGCTGCAACTAATCCCAAAAGCTGAATGCAACAAGTCAACAGCAGTGAGAGAAGCCCCAGAGAAGGTTCGAGTCTGATCTGTCAAAAGCAGGAGGAAGGGTCACAGTCCTTGTGATGTGCTCTTCCCCATCTTGCAGCTTTTGGCAAATATTAGAAGTTAGGACTGCAATTAGCCTCTGTATTAGAGTCAAACAGCCTATCAGCAACTTGATCTTAGATGGATCCCATTAAAGAATAAGCCCTTTTCAGCCAGGTTCCAGGATGTTTTCATAGTTTAGCACTCCACGGAGGGGGTCCTTAATCTCCAACGGCCCCAACGTCTAAGTCCTGGTCATTGAGCCTGTGTCTGCTTTCAGTTCAGCATAGCCCGCGTTGAGGCTCATGGCACACAGTAGCAGGTTTCAGCTTAGAGTCAGGGCCAGGCAATTAGGATCTGGGAATTTGAGATTCTGAACAAGCCAGCTTCTTTTCTTCAGCAGCAGTGAAGGCATGCTGTGTGGCCAGACAGCTGTGGTTCAAGTGACATGCAAGGCTGCCTTTTTATCTTGTTGGTCTTAGAATCCAATTAACCCACTCAAAAAAAACAATGCATATTAGACTAGACAATTATCAGCCTCTAAGGGTAGACATTTGATTTTGACAAGGGCTCATTAGCAATTTAACTGTATTTTCATTTTCCAAACAGATTGCTTCTCTTTACATGTTGTCTCCTTCCTTCCAGAGGCTCCAACAGGCATGAATCACAGCAAAAATCATCAGTTACAGGCCTGTTCTGGTTCCAATATCCGAAGAATTTAAATTCCAACCCATCCACTAGGGGCAAAAAACTAGAAAGCTGAATCCCACTAACACCTTTCGTATTTTATTTTTGAGAAGCTTTATTTGATTGGGGTGATTCCTCTAACATTTATGAAATTAACAAGCATAAAACTTTGTATTTAAGAGATGAGTAGCTGGGACTACAGGCGCATGCCACTGTGTCCGGCTAAGGTATGTTTTTTAAGCAATGAAATCAACCAGTAAAAACAAGTTTAAATATTTTTCATTCATACACTCAAGGCCTGCTGAGCACCCACTGCATGTATGTTTTACTTGTTCCATTAGAAATGTTTACTAAAAAATGGCCAGGCACAGTGGCTTATGACTGTAATCCCAGCACTTTGGGAGGCCAAGATCGCTTGAGCCCAGGAGTTCAAGACTAGTCTGGGCAACAGGGTAAAATGCTGTCTCTATTTAAAAAATGAACAAATACAAGAAAGTTAAAAAAAAAAAAAATGAGGATGTATTAAAGAAAATGCTCCTAATTCTCTTATGTCTTTTCATAGCTGTTTCCACATTCTCATATTCCCTTCTAATCCTTGTCAACATGGAATTTGTTTTATACAGTTGCAATTATGGTCCATTAATACAATCTATTTGTATGTTACCAGTAACAATAATACTAACAGTGAACCCTTATTGAGCATTTACTATGCGCCACACACAGGGCTAAAAGTTTTAGAGATGATCTCATTTACCTTGAGTTATTCACCCAAGGTTTATGGCCAGCAGACGGCAAAGCCTGAATTCCAACCCAGCTCTGCTGACTCCCAAGAACATCCACCTGCACACTGCCTCTTGGGCCTTGTTTATCTGGCAAGTCCTAAACCCCAGACTCATTTGTTCACTTGCTTGCTTCCTCCCTCCCTACCAAAACACAGTATGATCTATCGGTTAAACTCACAGACTGAAAACTCCGGGTTCAAATGCCAGCTCCTCTCTCACTAGCTGTAAGACCTTGAGAAAGTATTTAATCTCTTTGTGCCTCAATTTCCATGTTTATAAAATGGGGATAAAGTGCCCATTATAGTGCCCATTTCCTAGGATTCTATCCAGGAGATGATGTGCCTATTTCCTAAGGTTCTTGTAAGTACATTCTGCAAAGACAGCACTCGAAATAGTACAGGCACATGGGTTTGACACTTGTTTCTGTTATTATTGAAATAAAAAGAACCTGTACCTGTTCCCAGGAAGCTCAGAGTCTCTCACAGGCCTTTTCAGTTCCTGGGGCTCTCATATTTCCTCATTCTCCCAGACTCCTCTGACCCTACTCTTCCTCAGGCTCTTACTGCTCCTGTGGGAAATCAGAAAGAGCAGCCAGCAGACAACACCAACTGAGAAGAATGCAGCTGAAATGGCACAGGTCAGTACAGCCAAGAAACACCATGGGCTAATGTTCAGACCCACGGTCTGAAAGCCAGAGTGGGTGTGAATTTCACTCCCGTGTCTCTTTTCTTGGATGATTTTCATCTGCATGACCCATTTGCCCAATGCCCAGTGGATGTGAAGATACAGAAAAGTCCAGGTACTGCTTTCAGGGAAGTAAGATGTCCTGTGCCAACTCTTCTCACTTCAGGGTCCAAGTCAGAGTGCACAAGGAAAGCATGTGGGGCTGGCCCGCCAGCAAAAGCTTCAGGAGAGCAAAGGGTTGGCTGACTGGGCTGCAAGGGTAGTGTTCAGAGCCAGCTACCTTGGAGGCCAAGATACTGGAGGAGCTGCATAAAACATGGATTTTGCAGCCAAATAAGAACTGGCCTTGATTCCAGCTCAGCCATTTATTAGATGTATAACACTGGGCACATTTACTTAACCTCTCTGAATAGCAGTTTCCTCTGCTGTAAAACAGGCTGTGAAAATCCCTACTTTTTTGACAGTTGGGAGGATTAAATGTTTGCACCCCATAGATAACAAAACAAGGAAGGGTGATTTCTCCATCTCTTCTTTGTGGTGGACTGATTATAAAGATCAAGATGTTTTTACTTTTAAATTTTAAAAATATGTAAGAATATTATGCCTTATACTCTAAGGGGTTTTGCTCAAGGTTTATCACTTCCTAATAAAAGTAGGTATAACTACCATTTATTGAGCGCTGACCCTGAGCCAGTACTTATGCTTTACAAGTATAAATGCATTTCAATCCTTATAATAACCCTATCCAACTTCCCCGTTTTACGGAAGAGAAACCTGAGGTTCCATGAAGTAAGATAACTTGCTCAAAGTCACAAGGCTAGCCAATGGCAGGCTGGGATTTGATCAGCCCAACTCTAGCACTCACGCTCCTCACCACTATGATGGCTCTCAAAATGGGCCCCTCAGACCCTCTCTGTATTTTGATTCTTTGGCTTTCTCCCTCACTAAGCTGTGAGATCCCTATGGGCAAGAACTGGCTCCATCTCAGTCTCCACTGTATCCCCAGGACCTAGGCAGTGCTTGGCACCTAGTAGTGGCTTGGAAAGCATTTGTTAAATGAATAAATGAGTGATGGTGTCTCTTTTCTCTGTACAGAAAATGGTGAGGGGCCTACCTTCTTACCCCGAAATGCCAGCAAGCACATATTCTACTAAAAGCACAAGCCCATTGCTGGGGGGCTCTAGAAGTGTTTCAGTCATCATGTACTTGGGGGAACTGTAGAAGGTGGCAAGACATTTTGCTGAGACCGGTTCTGAAAAAAACAGGTCTTTGGACATGCTGTCCCAACACTGCCAGTATCATTTCAGGGGCCTTGCAGCTCCACAGAAGACCCCAGGAGACCAGCCAGCTGGATTTGACTACCTATAGTCACCATCCAGGTTGTCAGATGCCAATTTTTTTCAGGAGAATAGCTGAGGCTAGCCAGAATGTGGCTGGGCAGCACCCTCTAGGCTCTCACTGGATAGAACAGGATACGGAGAAAGGCCCCCTAGCCACCAAGACCTCTTCCTTATAGCTGAGAAACTTCCAAGGATATGTTAACTAGGAACAATGTTTGTCTGATTAATTTCAAGTCTGCCAGATGGGTGAGTGACTAAGAAAGGAACTGTGGCCTCAGATCCTGAGTGAACTGGTTCATGCAGAAGTGACTAATACAGAAGCTACCACCAACCCCAAACAACCACAAGGGTTCTGTGCAGCCATGTAAAACAGAATCAGTCAACAGGAGGCTCACAGGACAATCATTCACCTTTGTTTCCTGCACCAGGGGTCCTGCAATCTGAGACTTATCTGGAGCTGGAGTAAGGTCTGAGGCATGCTGGTGGGGTATGTGAGGGTTGGGGGTGAGGGTGGTCGCATCCAGGCAATCATTCTATTAAGGATGTGCTAGATGACCCACAGACTCAGGCCTGACTCCTCAGGAGCTCACAGCTAGTGGGGGTTCAGACAAGAACACAGGTACATAACTAAAACTCTATTGATAAGGGCCCCTCGGTAAGGTGCTATGGGCATCATAAGGAAGCAGTTCCATGGCCCAGTCAGCTCATCTGGAGGAAAAAAATAAAAAAAAAAGGAAGCAGTTCCAGACAGAAGACCATCTCCAAATGGTTCTTTATTGAACACCCACTTTGGCTAGGCAGTATTCTCCCCCTGCCCTCTAATCAGGTACCCCCAGTGGAGTATCCTCAGAAGGTACCTCCCAAGACCAGGAGTAATGAGAGACTGGGCAGAGGGTTAAGGGACAGCAGGGAGAGGGAGGAAAATGAAGATACCAGGGAAAGAGGAGAGGCCTGGACAGCTGACGCTTTTTCCTGCCCAGCACCCATTCGTCCCTTCAGGTAATATCATCTGCCACAACCACCAGCACCAACTCTCAGTCTCTGTGGGTACATGCCAGGCCTGTCCATTTGGTGTATTCCATCTTCCTGGCCACAATGATGACTTGAGGCTGGATACCTTCCTCGTCTGGACCAATGAGAACCAAATCCAGCAGTTCTGTCAGCAAAGGGGAGCTCTTTTTATCAAAAACTGGTGCTGTGGGGCCGGCCACACTGTGAAGCCCGAGAATAAAGCCAACTCAAATGAAAGCAGAGCTGAGAGCCAAAGAGACAGATCTCAGTTTGGAGTCCTGGGATGCAGCCTGAAGCCCAATCTAGCCCATCCTTTTCAGCTATATGAGCCATAAATTCTTTCTGCCCCAAGTGAACTGGAAAGAGTCCCAACCAAGGTCCTTCCCATCTGGCTGTTCTAGAAGTATTCTGAGGATAAGGAGATTTTCTTCTCTAGGGTTATAAAAGTAATTATGTGGTGACAGGCTGTTCCTAGGTCCCTGGGGTGAGAGCCACCATGGAGACAGAGTCCAGCTCGCCTTTCCTAGGATACACACTCACTACTGTCAACACATCTTCGAATACATCAGCACATAATTATAAACTCCTATTGTTTGTAGTAGCTACTGTTTTTGTCTTCCCACCATTTTGTTTCGGATGAAGAAAAGGTCATGACCCAGACTGGATTAATCATGTGGCCAAACACGCATGGCCATAGTGACTGACCCAAGAGGACATGGAACTCACAACAAACCACTGAGAACTTTGGGAATTTCCAAATTAGAACTGGAAGGGAAGACCTTTCATTCAGGGCCCCCAAGCTGGGAGGATGCAGGTCTGGAGCTGTCAGCTGTCGTGGCCCTAAATGCATGGAGAAGCTATTTATTTTGGTGGTTTTAATGTATAAACATTTAAAAAATGACAAGCTAGAAAGGAGTTCTAGATGGAACTAGTGGCAATGATTACATACAGCTATTCTGTTTTGCAACCCCCGCAACTGGATATTAAGTCAGGATAGCTCTTGCTAAATTCTAATCTTCAAGACTGAACTGTTCTGCGCTATTCACTTATGGATCAGAGCATTAAGCAAGGACAACCTGCTTAGCCTCTAACTTCTAAATCTTCTTTCTAAGCTAAGAGGTCAGAGCAGAACCAGGAAAGATTGTGCTATCTGGTCAGAAGGAGATGGTAAGAACAGCCCTAGCAACTTCATTTACTCCTGGGGCTCTGTGCCCACAAACTGATTTTACGAGCCCTTCATGTATATATGCGAATGGACTCTGAGTACAGACATTTTGGTGTGAATTGTGGAGTTTATAGCAAATACAGGGTGGGTTGAATGGTTCTAGGCCAGGGAGCAAGAGTTCACAAATGTGGTGTCTTCAATGAAATAAGGTAAGTACCTTGAGGCAAGCAGTAACTGCCTAATGCCTTCACATGAGAGACTCAAATCTAACACTTGGCAAAATTACAATCTGGGATGCTGAGGTCCCCACTTTTAGTGAAAGCCAAAGGCCCCAGGTCAAAATGCTAAAAAGTCTTTTACTAACTACCCTAGGACAGCTAAGGTCATTTTGGGAAGGAAAGAGAGAAACACTAATCACCCCTACCCTCAAGTTTTAAGAGCCAACAGGAATCTGGGCTCTGAAAAGTCACAAACACCTTTCCCAGGGTTATGAACAATTGCCAACAACTGGCCAAATGTGTTAGCAGCAGCAAAGCTGGGCATTACCTGTGTGAGAGGCTCTCAGCATGGGTAGTGTATGGCCGTGAGCAGCACACCAGCTACACAGCCTCCACACCGGAAGGGTGCTGCTGCTCTGCAGGTCCGTTTCAGGCAGGATCCAGCCATCCACAGGACCAAGGGGCTGGAGCGTTGGGAACAGATGATTCTGTGTTCCACAGATAATGGTACAAAGTGACTGTTCACAGATAAGGTGTAAGCACAGCATTTGAAGATAACTCCTCCAGATAGTCTGTCTGTTAGTAAATTCTTAAGAGGTTAGAGCCTTGAGGATTGAGAAATTCTAAAGAAATTTTTTAAAAGGAGGAGGGTGGTAGATGTCAAAGACAAGAGAGTTTTTTCTAGGTGCTGACTGGCTCACTTTGTCCTCAGGTTCATCTTAGAGCTCAAGCAGATTCAAGACATGAGGCAGAGATGCTAGACTTGTGTCAGCGGCAAAAACTTCTGGTAGTAGCTCTTGGTGACGTCAATCATCAGCTCCTGAGTGCACTCCGGGAGCTCCCCTGAGAAGAGTCCTGGGGAAAGAAAGACCCAGCTCTAAGAAGCTTAAAGAAGTTACAAGAGATTAAGATATTTCTCTGGCAATATCCCTCTCACTTCAATCAGATGCATGTCTGACAATCACTTAAACAATTGCTGGGGCTGTTCTGGTCCAGCGCTTGCTAAGAACAGCTAAACTTTTTCACAGCAGGACCCCAATATGGAGAAATTACTAAACAAAAGTCTTTCCTTCCTCCTCTGCAAAAGCAGAGATGTATGACACGGTAGAATGGCCAAATGCCTCCCCAAAGAATCTGAATGATGATTCTGTTCATCTTAGAAACTCAGATTCAATGATCTGAGAGATGAGATTTATTTTTTAATTGGAAAAACAATTAAACCACCCAGTGGTAGGTATCATATACTGTCAAATCTCTCTGTTCATATCATTTTCCATCTGTGAATTTATGACATGCTTCTGTATATGCTACATGATTTCAGCTGTGTAAAACAACATGGAGAAGAAGATACTGTCTTGGGGTAGGGCTAAGGCAATGTGAGGTTTTCTTCTTCCTTCTGCTTTTCAGTGTTTTCCAAGTTTTCTGAGAGAAGTATGTATCACTTTCGTTTCCTCACGTTTTATAATTTGGAACTCCAGGCTCCCGATGGGCTTTACTTGTGAGTATTCTATCAGCCAAGGTCTGGAGATAATGTATTAATATTTGCCCCTCTCAGGTATCCTCAAGGTATTGCTGGTCTTAGACCATGCTTTATACTAACTTTTCAGTCTGGGAATTCCTGGGCCATGTGGAATGTATAAATTAAACTCATGACCAATGTGAGGGTAAGCCCAGCATTAAAATTCTCTAGACAGACTTTTTCTACCCAGAGCCCAGGCCAGGCAAGAAATGTTTTCCTGTACATTCTCTGTGTTGGCAGCAGATTTGTTTCACATCGACTTTTCCTTGAGAGGGAATCCTTTAAGAGTTATCTGAGGATCTCTCTGTCATGTGTGGATCCAAAGCTTTATTTCCGTTCCAACATGAGTATCACCCCTGAAACCACTCTATGATGAAGAGAGCATTAACTCGTGCAATCTCACAGCCTGGGCTTAGTTTCCTCTTTGTGTTTGGCCCTTCATAATTTCCTTATTTTCTGGTGAACCTAATTATGCATTTAAACAGTTTAAATGTTAGGTAGCATTTCCAGGTACTTTGTACAGGTGAATTTCTAAGTTAGCTCTATCAACATATTGCCAGAGATAGGAATTGTATGCATTACTCTTGTGATGGAAAATATAATTGAGTTTTAGGAAGTTAAAATAAATCAACACACAAGGTTACCTGGGCAGCCTGAGAAGACAGTGAATGGTGGGACCACAGTTTCTGGAGGTAATACTGTGTTGTCAAGAATTTTGCAGCAGTCTTTCAACACACATCGGCGCCCCTGAAATTAAAATCTTGTTAATAGGAAATGGATCAGGAAATGGGAGTAAAAGTTGTCTAGTCTACTGTGTGAAAGGCTCCTTTCTATTTTCCCCATTCATGATATCATGTAATAGCCAGAGACAGTGACAAGAGGCTTGGTTGCAATTTCCTGCTTCAGGTGGTACCTGACGAGGAGGAGGCAGCAAGGTTGTGACAGTGTGTGTTTGTGTACATTTGCGGGGGAAGGCTGTATGCTAGAGACAGGACAAAATGTCTCAGGCATTACAGACTGAATTTCAGTCTTCCGTGAGCTCTGTTGAATTTTCCCTTTGATTTAGTGGACATTTGTGCTTTTGCTTGTCCACCATCCATTCCCCTTTCTTCTGGTAACAGAACCTGTATTTTCCTTGGTAACGCGCCCATCCCCATCTCATCCATGTGCTTCACCCCACAGCCCACACACCAAACCCCAAGCCTGGACACAGTAACAGGTGCTGGGGATCAGCATATGATCCCAATTAGTCTGATGGACCCCAACCTCAGGGTTTTTGCTGGGACTGCTGGGGAAAGCAGCACTTCCCACTGGGGTTTCCAGAGGACAGGCTGGAAGACTGGAATAGGCATCTTATTTCCATGAAGGAAGAACCTGTCTGAGAGTGAACCTCCCAGAGGAGAGCAGCACAGAGATAGACTAATTCTTACAACATGGACTGAAGCCCTGGAGCCATTTGGCCATGACATTAGGATCTACTCCTGTAGTCTTGGTTTACATTCACCACCCATTCCACTCTGCACCCACCAGCTTAAGGTTGGTTGGTTGGTTTGCTCCTTTGTCGATTCAAACTGGAAAAATCCTGACAAATTCATTTGGATATGAAACTATTAGTTCACTTGTTCTCCCACAGGTGAGTGATAGTCATGTGGATGTTTGAACCTCATCCCAGACTTTAACCACTGTCACCACTTTTCAATTCTGCCATGATCCACTGCATTTAGAGAGCAAGAAATAAGGTCTGAGAGACTCATCTGTTTCATGGGCTAAGGGAAAAGTAGGGCTTCTGTGTACAGTTTACAGCTGTACCTCAGACGCCTTGCTGAGGAAATGAAAGTTTTGGTCATTTTTGACTGCATTTACATCAGGACCTATTAGTTCACTGGTATCCTGGCTAGACAATCAGAAAATATACCTGACTGAGAGTGTGGAAATCTTTACAAATACCAGGACAATGCTAACCAGTCCAGATCTCAGATTTTAGCAAAGAACATGAAGAAGACACTGATTTGGTTGTGTTTAAATTTTTCCCCACTATTAAACACTTAAATCATATGTTTTTCTAGGAAAAGGTAGATTGCTAAATGAACTTCTTATGAAAGCATGTGAATTTCCCAAGTGGCTCTGAATTTCCCAAGTGGCTGATCTCTCTCCAGCGAGGTAGATAACAGCCCTGACGATACTTGACAACATCTTTAGCTCAAAAGCACATTATGACTATAGTTCTTCATTCTTCCTTGTAAAGTCCTCTTCCATGGGTTACCTGCTAGTGGCAATTTCAAAAATATGGCAACTAACTATCTTCCCTGGTGACCTCAAATTAACATAAACCCAAAGAATTTTTGTCATGACTAAGCTCCTACTAACTCAGATTAAGTTCATGAGGCACTGAGTAAAAGGACACCCAACGGGCTACGTGAGGCATGATATAGTCCCATGGAGGGATCCACACACAAAGGGCCCTGGAAAAGAAGACTAGTTGATGGGATATTTTCACTGTGTATACCAGCCACCATGCAGCCTGAAGGCACCTGCTCTGTCCACTGGTTGGCCATTTTGCCCACTTAAGAGAAATAATGCTTAACTGGGTTTCAGAAGCTGTCTGGGTAAACTGATCAATCAAATTAAACATTCAAAATGTAGGTATTTCTTAGGCATAAATGTACTGGCAATAGCTGAGGAGGTAAAAGTTGAAACCACTTTTTTTGGGATGTGGTGGTGGGGGGATGGAGTCTCACTCTGTTGCCCAGACTGGAGTGCAGTGGCATGATCTTGGCTCACTGCAACCTCCACTTCCTGGGTTCAAGCAATTCTCCTGTCTCAGCCTCCCAAGTAGGTGGGATTACAGGTGCCCGCCACCATGGCCAGTTAATTTTTTTGTATTTTTAGTAGAGACAGGGTTTCACCATGTTGGCCAGGCTGGTCTTGAACTCCTGGCCTCAAGTGATCCTCCTGCCTCGGCCTCCCCAAGTGCTGGGATTACAGGCATGAGCCACTGCGCCCGGCCTGAAACTACTTCTTTATTCTTCCCTAGAGAGTTTTCCAAGGAGTTAACAACTGCAGCCATGCTGCTAATACTACAGCTACCTATATATCCTGTGCAAGAAAGTTAGCATCTTGGAGCCTTGGTTTCCTCATCTGTGAAACAGAATGGAAAACCAATCTGTAGGGGGGTTGTCATAGAGAGAATAAATGTAAAACTCATAGTACAGCAACAGTGCCTATAAATATTGCTTGTTAAGCTTTTCCTTCAGGCATCTGGGCAATTCTGATGAACACCTCCATCTTCACATATCCAAACGGAAGTTAAGACTACCACATGGGATGTTATAGGAAGGATCTATGTGTGATGGGGATGGCTGGACTAAAAGAGTTACTTCCAGTGTTAAAGTTCTAGAATTCTAAAAGAATCTCTCCTGAGACTGAGTATTTGTCAAGGCTCAGCAAGTACTGCCAATATGGAACAATGACTATTATCATGAAGTGATGTATTAAAAAGTGGCATAAAAACAAGAGCACCTGACAACAGGATTAGAATTTCTTAAGCACTGGGAATAGAACTTGGATTTAACCTTTCAGACATTTTGCTCTGAGAATAAACGACAGGGTTATACGACTAGGCTACTGCGGTAATATCTTCACTTTGCTAAGGAAAATATCAGAAAACCCCAGCTGGAAGGCTAGTTTTTGCCAAGCAATTAGGGTGAGGGAAGAGGATGAACTTTACTAACTTTCCCCTTGTCCCAAAGACTTTCTGTTCACCTTTGCTGTACACTCATAGTTCCTGGAATGTGAACTGTTTGGTTTCTGCAAGTTTTTTGATATTTCAGGGTCTGAGTCTTATCCAGGGCAGAGAGCTGGCTCCATATTAATGGGAATGGTCATTAAAGAAACAGAGTCTTGGCTTTTCCTAGAATCTAGTCTGGAGTACAAATCTAAAATGCAGAAAACATTTTCCCTACACATGCTTCTCATAAATTCCATCTGAAATCAAGCTCATCATCTAAGAAATCACAGGAAATCCAACCTTGTTAAGCCTTGATTGGGTTAAATCAACCTATTCCTAGGCTCCAGTGGACCAGGGTCCTACAGATTCTGCTGAGCAAGGGGCCCGCTTGCACCCTGAATTACATGTAAATGCCTTTTGATGACTTGAACCCTTCCTTACGCATGCGAATCCCTTTCCTGAAATGCTTGTCCTCCCCCAATTTCAACTCACCCTTCAGATTTCCTTACTCCCATTAGACTGTAAGCTCCATGAAGTAAGGCAACAAGTAGGCCATACAGCAGCATAGCTAATAATCATATTGCCTGGGTTTAAATCCCAGGTCTACTGCTTTCTAGCCCTATCAAATCCCTTAACTTTTGTTTTTTTTAAAAAAGAAAGAATCTTGCTTTGTTGCCCAGGTTGGTCTTGAACTCCTGGGGTCAAGCGATCCTCCTGCCTTGGCCTCCCAAAGTGCTGGGATTACAGACGACAGTCATCACACCTGGCCCCAAATCCCTTAATATTTAAGGTCATCAGTCTTCTCATCTGCAAATAGGGATAACACGTAACACCTTTGAATGGTTGTGAGGGTTAAATGAAATCATCCAAGGAAAGCGTTTAACATTATATAGAGGAGGCTTGATAAACGCTTGCCAGTATCAATGTCTAGAAAATATTCCAAATCTTTTTATTTATTTATTATTTTTAAGACAGTGTCTCGCTTTGTTGCCCAGACTGGAAAGCAGTGGTGCAATCTTGGCTCTTTGCAACCTCTGCCTCCTGGGTTCAAGTGATTTTCCTGCCTCAGCCTCCCGAGTAGCTGGGATTACAGGCATGCACCACCATGCCCAGCTAATTTTTGTATTTTTCTAGAGACAGGGTTTTACCATGTTGGCCAGACTGGTCTCAAACTCGTGACCTCAAGTGATCCACCCACCTCAACCTCCCAAAAAGCTGGAATTAAAGGCATGAGCCACTACGCCCGGCTGAAAAAAATTCCGTATCTGTCAAGAAAAATCCAACTTGGCCGGGCGCGGTGGCTCAAGCCTGTAATCCCAGCACTTTGGGAGGCCGAGGCGGGTGGATCCCAAGGTCAGGAGATCGAGACCATCCTGGCTAACATGGTGAAACCCCGTCTCTACTAAAAATACAAAAAACTAGCCGGGCGTGGTGGCGGGCGCCTGTAGTCCCAGCTACTCGGGAGGCTGAGGCAGGAGGATGGCGTAAACCCGGGAGGCGGAGCTTGCAGTGAGCCGAGATCGCACCACTGCACTCCAGCCTGGGTGACACAGCGAGACTCCGCCTCAAAAAAAAAAAAAGAAAAATCCAACTATGGGAAGACGAAACCACTGCTACCCTGCTTGGTCACAGAAACAGGGTCCCATTGATGTGAGGGATAGGAGCTAGAGGGAAAGTGAGGCTGCTTTGCCAGCCAAGTCATCATACTCACAATCACACAGTTCTTCCCAACATGAACGTAGGAACCAATCTGAGCTGCGTTGACCACACAATCTTCCTCAATAAAGACATGGTCCCCAATATGTAAAGGAAAGAATGCAACACTAGAAGAGGAAAAGAAGATGAACAAAGAAAGGTCAAGATGATGTACTTTGGGTCAAGGTTTATAGAACTACAGATCCTAATCTGAACTTTATCATCTTAGCAAGACTGTCCCCAGCAAGGAAAGAAACCTCAGGCTAGAAAAATTATACAATATTGAAGAAAATCAATGTGATTACTAGTTCAAAATTGCAATAGTACACCAAAGAAATATGCAAGGAAAAACCAAGGCAGGAGGGGCAAGATCTTCAAAGCTAAAACAGCAGGTACCAAATAAAAATCAATGAACGTTTGTTCATTCCCACTTCCTTTGAAAATGCTCACAGATCACATTTTTACTAACCTGGCCTATAATGTTTCAGGGAATTGACATTAGGATCATGAGTTATAATTTCCACATTCAGCATTCTAAAAATTTATTCATTCACAGATTTCAGTGAGTGCCTACTATGTGCCAGACTCAATGCTAGAGATCAGGGCTACAACCATGACAAAAGAGATAGAACCCTGTCCACGAGCAGCTTACAATCAAGAAAAGAGATTAAATAGTAAGTAGTGACAACTATGATAAGGGATACAGAAACACAATATCAAGTTATGAGCACATATAACAAGGAGACGTTACCTAGTCCATGGCTTTAGGAAAAACTTAATTGACTTTGAGTAGGAGTCAGCAGGCTTTCTCCAGATATCTAACATCATTCCCATCCCATTCTCTAGGGTTCCTCAAATGTCACTGACAGTGGTTCTGTGATCACATTTGTACGTAATTTCTATACCTTGGGATGTAAAATATTTGGACTGGAATGAATATAAAGTGCTAGATGCTCATTAGCTCCTTCCAATTCTGTTCTATTCTGTTCAGAATATTTTTTCAGAGATGAGACCTGTCCTCTATGAACCTATAATTTGTTTAAATCTTCCTTAACCATTACTATTTTTGGTCTGTACCTCCTGTGCAGCAATGCATTCCTTGATCTCATCACGGTCTGTAGCAGTACTGACAGTTCTTTAATTTTTAAATTTAAGATTCCAAGTTTGATAGTATTATCTGATTCTGGTATGAAATGCAGGTAGAAAAAAATCCACATTCAGCTTCTATTCACGTTTTGCTATTTACACTTTCATATTTCTGCATTTCTCACATGTACTATTCCTACTTACACATCCCTTCATTCAGCAATAAAACCCTTGTTCACTCCTGGTGCTTTTCCTGCGCCATATCCAACCCAATAATGCTGTTAATCACCATCTCTAGTAGTGTTTCAGTCACACCGTATAAAACCATAAAAGGGTACCAGGAGGTTTTCTGGTTTCCCCCTAATAGCCTTCAAAGCTAATCATGTGAATTTTTTATAATGATTCCCTGATCCAGTTCTTGTATGTCATGGAAAGCCTAGAATCCAGTATCATTACTGGACATGTGGGATTATTTCTGCATGATATACTTCTAGGTATTATCATTAGTTTGAGTTAATTGCTCCCTTTTCTGTTCCTTCCTAACCGTGTTCATACCTCTGTGACAGGTGTATCACACCATATAGTAGCCGTCACATGTCACTATCTGATTATGTTAATTGTTTCTACAACTAGACTTTGGGAACTTTGAGGCAGGAATCTTATTTTATCTATCTTTATATATTCTCAGCTTATAACCCAGCTGCGGGCATGAAGAAGGTACTCAATAAATGCTTGCTGACTTATTGGATGAAATGCAGATGGGTGCCAGGAGGGCAATTAGCCAAGGAGGAGAGAGGTAAAGAGGCAAAGAGAATACTTTTAGCACCATATCAGCTATGGTGGTCAGTTTGCCTGCTCTGTCCATGCCTTTCTTGGATAGTCTTTATTCCCACTGAAGGATCAGTGGACCTGACTTGACTCCGCCCTTTGGGTCAAAGCTGTTCAGATCATGGATACTTAAGGTGAGCCAATCAGATTCTCTCTCTCAGGAGTTTGGAAATGACACATAAGGTCTCTAGTTGGTGTCTGCTGGAAGCCTAAATGGAGAAATGATATAAATTAGAATGTGAGTCAGCAAGGTAGTCTCCATGAACAAATGGGGCAGGTATCTGTGAGAGAGAAAATGGAAGTAGAAATGCAGAGAGAAGGGCAGTATAGAAGAAAAAATACAATTTCAGATACAGAGAGGGATAGGTAGACAAAACTGTCTTGATTCCAGCTAGCTGTCCAATTCCAGGTTCCGGTCCCTTGTGAGGCCTGGCTTGCTCCTTTTCCTGCTCTTAGGTTCCATTATATATGCCAGTCTGTTTGATCAGAAACCCCTTGCTTTTGCCAGTGTATAAGTGGATTCTGTTTGTGGCAACCAATCATCAACCAGACTGAGACAACCACCAGCAGAGTTGTGTTCATTATGGTGAACTCTTAGTGCTTCAAACAACAGGATGGACCTAGTCATTATACCACAACTTATGGTATATGGACCATACCACCAGTGGCAGCTTCTTGCCCAAGACTTGAACAAGTAATTAAATTACATACCCTTTGCTGAATTTCTTGAATGGTGGCCTTATGACACTACGACTTTTTACAACACAATGACGTCCAACTCTTACGTTTGCCAGATCCCCTCGGATAATACAGTCATTCATCACGATGGTCTGTAAGACAAAGCAAATTTTAAAAACCTAGCGACATAGTCTAAGACATAACAAAAAAGAGTAGATAACGAGATACTGATTCTGAGTTATGTTACAATCCACTCTGACAGAACGTTACAAATGTTCCGCCAAAAGGAGTAACTTGTAAGGTAAAAAGAGAACTGCCCTCATGACAGTGACTGCAGTTAGCGATGTTCCTAGTAAATCATAAGCTTTGCCCTTAATCCCCCATGAATAGAACTCACTGAATGAGCACTTAGTGAGAACACCTAAAGCAGATCTGGCTTATGTGTCTCTTTAGATTCACTCAGGTAGGTCCTTGTGCCTCCGAAGCCTTGGCTGCTTGCTTATCAAGAGTTCTGGCTGCTCTACCTTTGTCTTCTTTCTTAACAGTACTACCTCCAGCTCCATGCTCCAAGAGGTGGACCCAATGGAGTTCTGGTTCATCTCCCAACCTCTGAACTCAGATTCGAAGTGCTACACTGCAGCAGAGTGTAAGATGTGGCTTCCCCAGAAGTTGCTGAGAGGGCTGAGTAACACAACCTGTAAGTCTGGGAGGATTAATCCCTTATACTTGGTAAAGAGTAGGCACCCTCAAAATGCCTGCTGAATAAATAAATGGGGTTAAAAAGTGAATATGCTGGAGTTGTAACTGGAAAAAGTAAGCAAGGGACATGCAAGTAGATTATGAGGAATTATGTATGCTAAGCACAGAAGCTTAGGCATTTTTCCTAGAGGATATAAAGAGTCAACAAAATATTTTATTTCATTAAAAATTTTTTTCTGGCCAGGTGTGGTAGCTTACACCTGTAATCCCAACACTTTGGGAAGCTGAAGCAGGCAGATCGCCTGAGGTCAGGAGTTCGAGACCAGCCTGGCCAACATGGTGAAACCCCATCTCTACTAAAAATACAAAAATTAGCCAGGCATGGTGGCAGGTACCTGCAGTAATCCCAGCTACTTGGGAGGCTGAGGCATGAGAATCGCTTGAACCTGGGAGGCAGGGGTTGCAGTGAGCCGAGATCATGCCATTGCACTCCAGCCTGGGCAAAAAGAGTGAGATTTTGCCTCAAAAAAAAAAAATTTCTTTTTTTAAGACACAGGGTCTCACTCTATTGCCCAAGCTGTAGTGTAGTGGCACAATCATAGCTCACTGCAACCTTGAGTTGCTGGGCTGAAGGGATCCTCCCGCCTAAGCCTTCTGAGCAGCTGGTACTACAGGTGTATGCCACCACATCCCACTAATTTTTAAATGTTTTGTAGAGATGGGAGTCTCGCTATGTTGCCCACACTGGTCTTGAACCCCTAGGCTCATGCAATCAATCCTCCAACTCTGGTCTCCCAAAGTGCTGGGATTGCAGGCATTAGACACTGCAGTTGGCCCCAATATTTTAAACAGAGGATTAACATACATAAATTTCCATATTATTACTACTACTGTGGAAGCACCCTGGCATCTGCATGGGGGATACAGGTGAGAGACTTGAGGAAAACTGACCCTTTAGATGACTACAATGGATCAAGGTAAAAATAGATAATTAGTCTTTTTTTTTTTTTTTGAGATGGAGTCTTGCTCTGTTACTCAGGCTGGAGTGCAGTGGCGTGATCTTGGGTCACTGCAACCCCACCTCCTAGGTTCAAGCAATTCTCCTGCCTCAGCCTCCCCAGTAGCTGGAATTACAGGCATCCGCCACCACGCCTGGCTCATTTTTATATTTTTAGTAGAGACAGGGTTTCACCATGTTGGCTAGGCTGGTCTTGAACTCCTGACCTCAAGTGATCCTCCCAAAGTGCTGGGATTATAGGCATGAGCCACTGCACCCAGCCTATGATGGATCTTATCTAAAGCAATAACTATACATATAGAAAGAAAAAATAAATCATAAAAATATATAATAATAAAAGTAAATTAATCTGATTAAGCCTCTAGATTTAATGACCAATTTCAAGGAAGGAGAGAGATAAGGACCTTATTAGGCAACTCCATATAGACATAATCAGCCAAATTCAGCAGCTGGAGAATTCAACTGGATAGTGATCCAGTTTCTGCAACATATAAATGGCATGGAAAGACAAAAAAAAGGGTTGGGAAAACAGAACTGTTACAGATTAAAAGAGACTTAAGAGACATATCAACCAAATACAATGTGTGCAGCATCATGTTTGGATTCTGCTTTGAACAAACCAACTGGAAAAAGATATCCTGAGATACTGGGAAGACTGAATATGGACTGAGGATTAGATGATATTAAGGAAGTACTGGAGTTTTTACAATATTAACATGATAACAGTGATACTCTACTCATTGTTGTTTGTTTATGGAGACAGGGTCTTGCTCTGTCACTCAGGCTGGAGTGCAGTGGCCTGATTATAGCTCACTGTAACCTTGAACTCCTGGGCTCAAGAGATCCTTCTGTCTCAGCCTCCAAGTAGCTGGGACTACAGGTGCATGCCACCAGATCTGGCTAATTTTTCTTTTCATTTTTTGTAGAGACATAGTCTTGCTATGTTGCCCAGGCTGGTCGCAAACGCCTGGCCTCAAGTAATTCTCTCACTTCAGCCTCCCAAGTGCTAGGATTGCAATTGTGAGCCACCATGCCCCACCTCTACCGAATTTTTAAGTCCTTAAGAATTAGTAAGACACATTGAAGTATTTGTGGGTGAAATAACATGACATTTGCAATTTGTTTTAAAATACTCCAGCCAGGAACAGTGGCTCATGCCTGTAATTCTAGTACCTTGGGAGGCTGATGCAGGGGGACTGCTTGAGCACAAGAGGTCGAGACCAGCCTGGGCAACATGGCAAAACCCTATCTTTACAAAAAATATAAAAATTAGCCAGATGTGGTGGTGCACACCTGTAGTCCCAGCTACTCAGGAGTCTGAGATGGGGGGATTGTCTGAGCATGAGGAGGTTGAGGCTGCAGTGAGCTGAGATCACGCCACTGCACTCCCATCCGGGTAACAGAGTGAGACCCTGTTTCAAAAAAAAAAAAAAAATTTAGCAGGGCATGGTGGCATGTGCCTATAGTCCCAGGTACACTGGAGGCTGAGGCGGGAGGATCACCAGGAATTCAAGGCTACAGTGAGCTATGATAGCGCCACTTGCTGCACTCCAGCCTGGGCAACAGAGTAAAACTCTGTCTCAGAAAAAGAAAAAATAAATAAATAAAAATAAATAAAAAACTCTAGCCTTCCCTACCCCACCCTAGTCAAACTAGGACTGAGTTTACAGGGTGAGTTTAGAGATGAAGCAAAGATGTCAGAATATTGCTAATTATGGAAGCTGGTAAACGACTTTATGGGAATTCATCATATCCACTCTACTTTGGTACATGTCTTAAAAGTTCCATAATGATAATGTTTAGCTATAAAAAGAAAAAAATAATAATCTGCTACTATACACAACAAGATGGATACATCTCAAAAACATTACGCTGCGTGAAAAAAGCTTGACATAAAAGAGCATATGATTCTAACCCAGATATCCATTAATGGGTGAATGGATAAAGAAAATGTGGTATACACTGCTTCTTGGCCTTTTGGCTAAGATCAAGTGAAGAAAATGTAGTATATATACATAATGGAATATTATTCAGTCATAAAAAAGAATGAAATCCTGTCACTTGCAGCAACATGGATGGAACTGGAGGTTATTATATTAAATAAGTCAAGCACAGAAAGACAAATATCACATGTTCTCACTCATATGTGGGCACTAAAAAAGTAGATTTCAAGATAGAGAGTAGAATGGTGGTTACCAGAGGCCAAGAAGGGTAGCGGGGAGGAGGGGTTGATTAAAGGGTACAAATATACAGCTTGATAGATGAAATAAGAAATAAGACCTAGTATTTGATAGGTCAGTAGGGTGACAATAGCTTACAGTAATCTATTATGTATTTCAAAATAGCTAGAAGGAAATTTTTTTTTTTAACTTTTAAGTTCAGGGGTACATATGCAGGTTTGTTAAATAGGTAAACTTGTGTCATGGAGGTTTGTTGTACATATTATTTCATCACCCAGGTATTAAACCTAGTACCTATCAGTAATTTTTCCTGATCCTTTCCCTCCTGCACCCTCCCCACTCCCCGTTCCCATCGGCCCCAGTGTGTGTTGTTCCCCTCTATATGTCCATCATTTGGCCTCCAGTTCCATCCATATCCCTGCAAAAAACATGATCTCATTCTTTTTTATGGCTGCATTGTATTCCATGGTGTACGTACCACATTTTCTTTATCCAGTCTATCACTGATGAGCATTTAGGTTGATCCCATGTCTTTGCTATTATGAATAGTGTTGCAATGAATATATATGTGTATATGTCTTTATAACAGAATGATTTATATTCCTTTGGGTATATAACCAGTAATGGGATTGCTGGGTCAAATGGTATTTCTGTCTTTAGATCTCTGAGGAATCACCACACTGTCTTCCACAATGGTTACACTCCCACTAACAGTATGTAAACGTTTCTTTTTCTCCACAACCTTACCAGCATCTGTTATTTTTTTACTTTTTAACAACAGCTATTCTGACTGGTGTGAGATGGTAACTAGTGGTTTTGATTTGCACTTATCTAATGATCAGTGATATTGAGCTTTTTGTCATGATGGTTGTATGTCTGCTTCTGAAAAGTGTCTGTTCATGTCTGTTGCCCACTTTTTAAATGGGATTGTTTTCTACTTGTAAATTTGTTTAATTCCTTTAGATGCTGGATATTAGACCTCTGTCAGACGCACAGTTTGCAAAAATTTTCTCCCATTCTGTAGGATGTCTGTTTACTCTGTTAATAGTTTCTTTTGCTGTGCAGAATCTCTTCAGTTTAATCAGATCTCATTTGTCAACTTTCGCTTTGTTGCAATCGCTTTTGGCATCTTCATCATGAAATCTCTGCCTGTGCCTATGTCCTGAATGGTACTGGTTAGGTTGTCTTCCAGGATTTTTACAGTTTTGGGTTTTACATTTAAGTCTTTAATCCATCTTGAGTTGATTTTTGTATA